CCTCCTCCTCCTCCTCTTAGGTCGTTTTTGCGCGGCGGGTGCCGCGTAACAAGAATGATTAGTTCCCCCCTATTGGTGTGACCCCAGTCCTTCAACAAGGCCGCCGAGAAAATAATGATTTGCCCCCTAACAACTGGGGAGGGTCTAAAGACCGTTTAGGTTTACCACCGCCTCCCATCGATTCAGGAGAGTCGATGCTTGGTGGGGGTAGGGCTCGGATGTCGTCACCTGCCTTCTAGGGCACAAGCCTGTCAAACATGAACTGGGACCACGCGCCTGTTGACTCGGACGCGGTGTTGTCAAAAAACCGAGCCCACCCTCTCAGCATTGAAGAACGCGCTTTCTGACAAGTACCCGAAAGCATCGTGCTCCAGGATTTCAACTTCCATTCCTGGATATTTTTGACGAGGCTTGCAGGAAGCCTTGCCCCCTCCCCTGCGCGCCGCCAACGGGGGGGGGGTCTGGGGTGGCCCAGCACTGGCTCCTGGCGAGCGGGAAGCGGGGGCGAGGTCCGAGGCCCTCTGTTCGAGCGAAGGATGTGTTGCCTCTCGCTGCCTCCAGGAGCCGTGCTCGGACCCCGGGGCCGTCAGAAGCGGATCCGGGGCGACGAGCTACGCCAGAGCCATACCCCTGGGAGCGGTCGAGGGACCGATTTTGAGCAGAGTTGCTGCGATCCCCCTTTCTTGACCGATTTTCTCGAGGCCAATCCAGTTCAGGTCCCCCCCCGGCCGCAGCCCAGGCGCCAGGGCGCCATCACCAGCAACAGCAAGATGAAGTTCGGCGCCGTCGTCGAGGTGCTGAAGGCGCTCGGGTGGCCCCACGCCCACGACAGGGATGTCCGCGGCCTGCTCCGAGCGAAGGATGTGTTGCCTCTCGCTGCCTCCAGGAGCCGTGCTCGGACCCCGGGGCCGTCAGAAGCGGATCCGGGGCGACGAGCTACGCCAGAGCCATACCCCTGGGAGCGGTCGAGGGACCGATTTTGAGCAGAGTTGCTGCGATCCCCCTTTCTTGACCGATTTTCTCGAGGCCAATCCAGTTCAGGTCCCCCCCCGGCCGCAGCCCAGGCGCCAGGGCGCCATCACCAGCAACAGCAAGATGAAGTTCGGCGCCGTCGTCGAGGTGCTGAAGGCGCTCGGGTGGCCCCACGCCCACGACAGGGATGTCCGCGGCCTGCTCCTCACCTCCCTCGACCTCGCCGGCTGCGGCTTCCTCACCAGGGCAGACCTCGAGTGGCTGGACGGCTGGCGACCCGGAGGCCTGGGAGGAGCTGCGGGCCCTGCTGCTGAGCAAGTACGGCCACCTGCTGCGCGCGTGGCGCATGGTCCTGGACAAGGAGAGTGCTGGTGCACACCCTGGGCCACAACGCCCGTGATGTCCCCCAACCCTCCCCCTTCCCCCTCCCCCCCCCCCATGACGCAACGCTTCCCCCCTCAGTGCGTCCCCGCCACTGCCGCAGCGCGGCAGGGGAGGGGGGGGCGCTAGGCTGTGCCCCCCCCCCCACAACGCCCGTTATGGCCCCAACTTAGAAAAAGTGCGCTCGAGGACAGCTCCAACAAGCTGTCCTGGACAGAGTTCCGCGACGCCTGCAAGCAGATCGGCTTCGCTGGGAACACCGCGGGGGCGTGGCGCCACCTCGACGACGACATGTCTGGCTACATCAGCATGCGCGAGTACGACAGAGAGGGCGCGGAGCTGCTGCAGTCGTTCAAGCACTGGGCGGAGTCTTGCTTCGGGTCCGTGACCCTCTGCTTCAAGGCCCTCGACGAAGACAGGAGCGGGTCCGTCACTCTGACGGAACTCAAGCGGGCCTGCCACAGGATGAATTGGAAGGGTGACGTGCGGCTCCTCTTCCAGTGCCTCGACGCGGACCAGGAGAGGGACGCCGCGACGGGCAAGAAGTCCATCGAGCTCGCGGAGATCTGCTTCCTGGACGAGTGGAACCCCGAGCCCGCCATGGAGGACGTCGAAGAGGCGACGACGATCCCGCGGTCAACCACTGGCAACAGCAGGTCGAGCCTGAAGAGCCCCGCGAACCGAGCAGGCAGCCTGGGCCTCGGCGCCCTCGTGCTGTGCGGCGCTCTGGCCTCTCCGACGGGATCCGAGTAAATGGAAACGGAGGATCGTGCCGCATCGCCGATGCATTGGCGATGCGGCTCGATGTGGAGCCCGATCTTCTCCACGCCGACTGCGCCGATGCACCGCCGACGTCGCCGATGCAGCGCGATCCCCAGACCCCATCTACTCCGACCCCGTCTGGGAGGCATGACAGTGATCAGAACGATGGCACTAAGGACGAAAATGATGACAAAACAGTCGGATCGAGATATAAGGTCGAGGTCGGTTCGTGGAGGGTACCCTCATTTTCTTCGTGTCTGTTGGATGCTCTCGTGCACCCTGGGGAGGATACCCATGGATGTTCTGTGCGTTTTGGCCAGTGGAGGGCCCCGTATTCTTAAGGGATGTTCTTCTGGCCTAGGTTCGACTGTAATGATGACAACGTCGCCGATGCGGCGCGATCCCCCGACCCCATCTACTCCGACCCCGTTTGGGAGGCATGATACTGACTAGAATGATGGCACTAAGGACGATCATGATGACAATAATGGTGGTGATCGTTTTCTTATTCATTGTTTTGCCGATCGGCGCGGGCCCTCGCACCCCCTCTCCCCCCCATGGAGTAGATCTTTGGCTGTTCTTGGCGCCTGCTTCACGCAGGTGGAGCCTCCCCCAGAGGACGCACTGTTGCAAGCAGTCGCGCCGAGCAGATGGTCGGAGCCAGACAACTACCCTCCCTCTTCCGCCCACTGCCGAAGCGCCGCATACGCAAACGCTCCCATGACCATGACGACGCCGATGAGCCCGAGCAGGCAGCCCGAGCCTCGCCGCCCTCCTGCACGGTGGCACGGCGCGGCACCGCGACAGCTCCGGCAGCCCCGCCGCCAGCCGGCCCAACACTGCGCCCGAGCCCGCGGCGCACAGGCGCCGCTCCGGCGCCCCCGCGCGCCCGGCCACCGTGGAGGTCGGCGCGCGGCCAGCCTCGCAGGGCTCTCGGCGGCCGCGGGTGCGCAGGAAGCTCTCCGAGGCAGGGCTCCTCGGCCGATGCCGATTCGATGCGGCTTCGGATTCTCTCCGGTCTGGGCTCCGATTCTTCTGTGGAGGCCCACGAGCCTGCCGATCTTTCCGCCGATTCGACTTTTCCCGACTCGGTTGCCGGCTTCCGCCGATCCGATTCATGTCGATTGCCGATTTGACTCATCGATTCGATTCTGGGCTCTCCTGCCGAGGCCAGCATCCCGCTGGAGATCCCGGCGTACCTGCAGAGGTCGGCTGCGCGTACGCCCTGATTCCAGATCCGCCGTGCTTTGGTTGATTTCCCGGCTTGAGGTCGTGTCGGACATATGTACCCCAGACCATGTGAACGGGCGGATATTTCCGCCTTGCTTTCGTGGCAAGGTCCACGATGTTGTAGAGCATCCCCACAACCTTGCCCGCACAGCAGGGCGGAAACAGCGACAGAAAAGTAGGGCGGAAATCGGCATCGAGCGAGCTTGAAGAGTCGGGCGGACAGTTCCGCCCTGCAAGCCAAATCGCCCAGAGTACGGCAGATCCTCGGTCAAAGACGGGCGACCCTTCGCCAGAGTGACCTTTCTAGTGCGGGCCCACGGGGGCCCCCAAAGCATGTTGTCTTGCCTTCGTCGATTTGGCCCCTCCACGGCCCCCTGGGGCCGCGCACCGAAGGCCACCCTTGCCTGGGGCCACTCCTGCGTTCTCCTGCGGTCCGAATAGGCGGGGTCGAAGGGTCGCTTCGCATCGACAATGCATCGGCGATGCGGCTCGATGCGGAGCCAGAGCTCCTCCACGCCGACGGCGCCGATGCATCGCCAGCGTCGCCAATGCATCGCCGATGCATCGGCGATGTCATCTACTCGGGCCCCATCTAGGAGGCCTGCCTCTACGGTAGGTTCGCGCTGTGTCGACGGGCGGCGACCCCGCCGCCGACGTTGAACGTTGAGAACCGCTGGCGATTGAGAATCGGTCAATATTGAACGATCTGACGTTTCGGAAACGGCCGATCGTTCCAGGTGGAACGGTCCCCTCGGTGTCGGAAACCAACGCCGAAGTCGGCACGGCACGAACCTGCCGCACTCGTAAAGACAATCATCGGGTTGGGAGCATGGGGCTTGGGGGAGAAATGATCAGAACATCCGTATCATTGCGTATGTCTAGCGGGCTTCTTATACAGTCGTGCTCTGGATCTGCTCAACCCCTCCCTCCCAACACGATCATTGTCTGTCTCACGTATGCGTGTGGCCGAGGGGGGTGGGGGGGGGGCAGGGGGAGGGTCACATGGGTAGGCGGAGGGGGGAAGGCTTCTCAAAAGCACCCTTGCCTCTTAGAAGGCGCGGGCCTCGTCTGCGGATGTAGGGCCGCCTCCTTCTGAGAAGCAGTCTCCTTCGAAGAAGCATTCCCCCCTCCCCCCACGATGGGACGACGAAATGTTCCAAGCTGTTCCTGGCCACGTGCGGCTGCACCTATAGTGCGACGCCACCTCGACGGACGATCCCCGCCCCCCCCACATGTCAATGCTGGCGCCAAGCGAGCACCCCAAGTCTAGGTGGACAAAAGAACGCAGCTCGACACGTGGGGTGGGGCGGGGAGTTCCTCGGAGAGAGATCGACGGAATCTGACCCACGTTGGCACGCTGTCTCTCGGAACGATCACACGACTTGCGATGCTTTGTCCGCCCATTGTACCCCCTTGTGCGCGCCGCCAGAAGGGTGGGCCTCGGCGCCGCCGCCGCGGAGGCGGGCCCCCCTCAGGAGGGGAACAAACACACAGACACAAGTCATCGCCGACTCCCGGGAAAAATATGTGGGAAAATACGGGAAGCGGAGGGAGGGGGGGGGAAGGCGAAAACCCAGAACAGATGGGAAAATGGAGGGAAGGCCTGGGATTTGTGTCTCTGAATTTGTGTTTCCCAGGGCCCCTTTCAAATTTGTAAAAAAAAAAAAAAAAAAAAAAAAAAAAAAAAAAAAACACCAGCAACAACAACAGCAGCAACAACAACAACACAAACAACAACACCAACAGCAACAACACAAATTATGCGACCGAGGAACCCCACATACTTATAGTATGGCTGGAGTGATGAGAGCTGAAGTGAAGCATGCGAGAATGATGTTGGTGGCCGTTGCCCCGCCGATACCGCTGTGCCCTGGACGACCGTCACGGATAGCGGCCGCGGTGAGAGACCACTCCCTGCGCACCCCCTTCATGGTGTCGAGGATCTGCCATGCCTGCTGTGCCCTGGACGACCGTCACGGATAGCGGCCGTGGCGAGAGACCACCCCCTGCGCACCCCCTATGGTGTCGAGAATCTGCCATGCCTGCTGTGCCCTGGGCGACCGTCACGGATAGCGGCCGCGGTGAGAGACCACCCCCTGCGCACCCCCTTATGGTGCCGAGAATCTGCCATGCCTGCTGTGCCCTGGACGACCGTCACGAGTAGCGGCCGCGGTGAGAGACCACCCCCTGCGCACCCCCGTATGGTGTCGAGAATAGGCCATGCCTGCTGTGCGCTGGACGACCGTCACGGATAGCGGCCGCGGTGAGAGACCACCCCCTGCGCACCCCCTATGGTGTCGAGAATTTGCTATGCCTGGTGTGCCCTGGACGACCGTCACGGATAGCGGCCGCGGTGAGAGACCACCCCCTGCGCACCCCTATGGTGCCGAGAATTTGCTATGCCTGCTGTGCCCTGGACGACCGTCACCGATAGCGGCCGCGGTAAGAGACCACCCCGTGCGCACCCCCTTATGGTGTCGAGAATATGCCATGCCTGCTGTGCCCTGGACGACCGTCACGGATAGCGGCCGCGGTGAGAGACCACCCCTTGCGCACCCCCTTGATGGTGCCGAGGATATGCCATGCTTGCTGTGCCCTGGACGACCGTCACGGATATAGCGGCCGCGGTGGGAGACCACCCCTTGCGCACCCCCTATGGTGTCGAGAATATGCCATGCCTGCTGTGCCTGGACGACCGTCACGGATAGCGGCCGCGGTGAGCCACCCCCCTGCGCACCCCCTATGGTGTCGAGAATATGCCATGCCTGCTGTGCCCTGGACGACCGTCACGGATAGCGGCCGCGGTGAGAGACCACCCCCTGCGCACCCCCTTATGGTGTCGAGAATATGCCATGCCTGCTGTGCCCTGGACGACCGTCACGAGTAGCGGCCGCGGTGAGAGACCACCCCCTGCGCACCCCCGTATGGTGTCGAGAATCTGCCATGCCTGCTGTGCCCTGGACGACCGTCACGAATAGCGGCCGCGGTGAGAGACCACCCCCTGCGCACCCCTTATGGTGTCGAGAATTTGCCATGCCTGGTGTGCCCTGGACGACCGTCACGGATAGCGGCCGCGGTGAGAGACCACCCCCTGCGCACCCCCTATGGTGCCGAGAATCTGCCATGCCTGGTGTGCCCTGGACGACCGTCACCGATAGCGGCCGCGGTAAGAGACCACCCCGTGCGCACCCCCTATGGTGCCGAGAATGTGCCATGCCTGGTGTGCCCTGGACGACCGTCACCGATAGCGGCCGCGGTAAGAGACCACCCCGTGCGCACCCCCTATGGTGTCGAGAATATGCCATGCCTGCTGTGTCCTGTACGACTGTCACGGATATCGGCCGCCGTGAGAGACCAGCCCCTACGCACCTCCTACGTTGCTGTGCATGTGCTGTGCTGTGCTGTGCTGTGCTGTGCTGCGCTGTGTGAGAAGGAGAGAGAGGTGAGGTGTGAGTGTCGCGGGTGCGGCGCGGCAAGGAAGAAAACCATAACCCCACGAAGCATGTGGGGAACAACCACAACGACAACACCAACGACAACACCAACAACAACAACAACCACAACAACCACAACCACAACCACAACCACAACCACAACCACAACCACAACCACAACAACACCAGCAACAACAACAACAACAACACCAACAACAGCAGCACCAACACCAACACCAACAATAACAACAGCAGCAGCAACACCAACACCACCAACACCAACACCACGAACAACAACAGCAGCAGCAACAACAACACCAATAACAATGACAACACCACCATTAATAACAATAACAACAGCAGCACCAACAACAACAGCAACAACAACAACATCAATCAGTTTAAGGCTGTTCGCTCTTATTTGCCCGCGTGATATTCAATATGCATATCCAGAACTCTGGATACCCGCCCTCTTCGTCTTCGATCGTACCCCCTGTTGGGGGGTATATTCATTCCCTGCCACGTGTGGTTGGTGAAGCCCGTGGAAACGAATGGTAACAGAGAACGGGGGAGAATGAGGACGAAGGGATCGGAGGAAGGGAGGGGAGGGGCACGAAGGAGGGAGGACGATGCTTTGCGCTGTGAGTGGCGGTTCAGCTTTGCGCCAGCCATTCCAACACAGGTTAACAATAAGTTTCGCCATGGGTCGCGCCATAAACAGCGCCACGTACCACCTTGAAGGGACATATCGTGGATACCGCCACGGGGGAACGTACAGCTGCGAACTGGTGTCAGCAACGAACTTCGTGGAACCCTGAAAAGAAGCGGGATGTTGGGAGAGTGGGGCGGCAGGATAGTGAGAACTGCAACCGTGTCGAGAGGAGCGCGAGGATGTGGAGTGGATTGGGATGGAGTGGACAAGAGTAGGGTCTCAGGAGGAGGAGTGGAGTGGGGATCAGGAAACGGGAGGAGTGCGGAGGAGCGGGGGGCGCACGGAAGAATTTGGAGGAGGGACTGGGAATAATTTGGGAGAAATGCGGAATGCGAGCGGGAAGGGGTGGAGATTGTAGATTGTTGGGGTGGGATGGGGTGGCTTGGGGAGGAATGGGCGGAATGCGGAGAATTGAGGAATAGCACAATCGAGTACAAACGAAATATACATGATGATAAAGGGAAAGAGTAGAGAAGACACGGGGCCGCGACGGAGCCGCTGAGGGCAGAAACGGGGCCACGAAGGGTAGAGAGGGAGCCGCGAAGAGCGACAGCGGGGCCACGAAGGGCACGCAGATGGGGGGCCGCGACGGGCGCGAACGAGCGGGGGCCACGAAGGGCATTCGTATATAGGGCCAGGAAGGGCGACAGCGGGGCCACTGAGCGCAGAAAGTGGGCCACGAAGGGCAGCGAGGGGGCCACGAATGGCGACAGCGGGGCGACGAAACGCATGCGTATGGGACCACGAATGGCGCGAGCGAGCGGGGGCCACGAAGGGCAATTAATCCAGGGCCACAGAGGGCAGCGACGGGGCCGCTGAGGGCAGAAACGGAGCCACGAATGGCAGAAAGGGGGCCACGAAGGGCGACAGCGGGGCCACGAAGGGCATGCATATGGGGCCACGACGGGCCCGAACGAGCGGGGGCCACGAAGGGCATATACATATATCGGCGCACCGGGTCCGGGGGCCCGGGGCCGGGACCTCGACCGCAAATGTGCACCCCGGGGGGCCCGGAGGCTCGTCGGGGCTTGCCGGAGGCCTCCCCAGTCAGACAAGACGGCCCAAGAAGCGCCCAAGACGGCCCAAGAAACCCAAGAGGCCTCCAAGAAGAGGCCTCCAAGAGATGCTGAAGATGGCCTCCAGACGTCCAAGGACGCCCCCAAGAGGCCCCAAGAAGCCTCCAACATGCGTCCCAAGAGGGCCCCTAGACGCAAAAATTGGCCCATTCCCTTCGTAAAACGTACATTTTCAACAAAGTTGTCTTTTGGGCTTTCCGACGTTACAGGACGGCCCAAGAGGCGCCCAAGACCGCCCCAAGACGGCCCAAGAAGCTTCCCAGAGGGCCCCAGGACAGCCCAAGAGGGCCCCAAGACGGCCCAAGAGGCGCCCAAGATGGCCCAAGAGGGCCCCAAGACGGGCCCAAGAGGGGGCCCAGAGGAGGACCACGAACCGCAAGCTCGAGCCTTCCGCCCCAAGAGGCCGCCAGGAGGCCCCCAGGAGGCCCCTCAAGAGGCCCCGGGAGACCCCAGACGTCCAAGGACGCCCCCAAGAGGCTCCAAGAAGCCTCCAACATGTGTCCCAAGAGGGCCCCTAGACGCAAGAATTGGCCCATTCCCTTCGTAAAACGTACATTATTAACAAAGTCGCCTTTTGGGCTCTCCGACGTTACAGGACGGCCCAAGAGGCGCCCAAGACCGCCCCAAGACGGCCCAAGAAGCTTCCCAGAGGGCCCCAGGACAGCCCAAGAGGGCCCCAAGACGGCCCAAGAGGCGCCCAAGATGGCCCAAGAGGGCCCCAAGACGGGCCCAAGAGGGGGCCCAGAGGGGGACCACGAACCGCAAGCTCGAGCCTTCCGCCCCAAGAGGCCGCCAGGAGGCCCCCAGGAGGCCCCTCAAGAGGCCCCAGGAGACCCCAGACGTCCAAGGACGCCCCCAAGAGGCCCCAAGAAGCCTCCAACATGCGTCCCAAGAGGGCCCCTAGACGCAAAAATTGGCCCATTCCCTTCGTAAAACGTACATTTTCAACAAAGTTGTCTTTTGGGCTTTCCGACGTTACAGGACGGCCCAAGAGGCGCCCAAGACCGCCCCAAGACGGCCCAAGAAGCTTCCAAGAGGGCCCCAGGACAGCCCAAGAGGGCCCCAAGACGGCCCAAGAGGCGCCCAAGATGGCCCAAGAGGGCCCCAAGACGGGCCCAAGAGGGGGCCCAGAGGGGGACCACGAACCGCAAGCTCGAGCCTTCCGCCCCAAGAGGCCGCCAGGAGGCCCCCAGGAGGCCCCTCAAGAGGCCCCGGGAGACCCCAGACGTCCAAGGACGCCCCCAAGACGCTTCGCGTCACCAATTTCTTCTCGCAACGATTCCTGGGTCTGTGACTCGACAGAACCTAAGCGCGCGCGAAGCGCGCGCGTGGTTCTAGTTCGTATATGGGGCCGTAACGGGCGACAGCGGGGCCGCTGAGGGCAGCAAAGGGGCCACGAAAGGCAGCGAGAGGGCCACGAAGGGCGACAGCGGGGCTACGAAGGGCATGCGTATGGGGCCACGACGGGCGACTGCGAGCGGGGGCCACGAAGGGCATATAATGCGGGGCCGCATTGGGCAGCGACGGGGCCATTGAGGGCAGCAACGGGGCCACGAAGGGCAGCGAGCGAAGGCGACCGTGGAACCAGTACGGGCAGCGAGGGGCATCGAAGGCGGGCGAGGGGCAGCGAGCGGCGACTGCAGTCCCTAACGGGCTGGTCGGGCGGGCAGGCCCAGACGGGCGGGTCGAGCGGGCGGGTCGTTGAAGCGTAAATTTTGCTTGAACCGCCAGGCAATATGCAACGGGAGCGCGATTTTTTAGTGTCGAGGAGCGGCATCTGAATAAATTGTGAGGAAGTATCAGGCGGGAGCCGCGATTCGGTGGTAAGTTGCAAGGAAGTCCCAAGCGAGAGCGCGATTCTTCGATACATTGTGAGGAAGTATCAAGCGGGAGCCGCGATCCGGTGGTAAATGGTAAGGAAATCCTAAGCGAGAGAGCGATTCTTTGATAAACTGTGAAGAAGTATCAGGCGGGAGCCGTTGTTGTTGCAAACTGGGGGCCAACAACACAGTTTGACCTTCAAGATTTCCCTGAGAAAAAACAGGATGCGAGCCCCGGGAAGGGCACTTCAATCGAAATCAATGTCCACCTGACGGGGGGGATCAACAATAATGGTTTTCAGAAATGAGAGGCCAACAACAACAGCAGCAACAGCAACAGCAGCAGAAGCGCGCACGCAGGACGCCCGGGACCTGCCGCGGTGCGCCACCGCGCCCAGCGGCCTGCTGGGCAGGCGTGCGAGGCCGCCCTGGGACGCGTGCGTGCAGAGCCCCACGGCCGGCCTGCGCGGCCGCGAGCGGTCGCCCGGCGCGGCGCTGAGGCTCGGAGGGCGCCGGCTGTGCCCTGCCGTGGCGCACAGTTCTCGCAGGCCTGGAGGTGGGCACCACCACCAGCATCGGCGGTGTGCCTCCACCGAGGGAAGAGCATTCCGATCTCGGCGATGGTGGTAATGTTATGGCTTCCAAGGTGGCCGAAATCTTACCACCATCACCGAAATCTAGGATCATCTTCCCCTTGTGGAGGCAACTCTCTGTGTTGGTGTTGGTGCCCAGTTCCAGGCCTCCAAAGTTTGCGCCGTTTCGAAGGAGGAAAAGCCTCGAAAAACCTTTCGGAGGAGGAACAACCTTTTCACAGCGGGCGGTTCCGCTCGGCTTCGAGCCCCGGGACCCTCTCAGATCGATCCGGCTCGACAAATGACGCCGGAAAATTGGTTCGGGAGGTCCGGGCGTGTATTGGTTCGATGCTGCATTTTTTTGTAACATCGGATCTCAGGGAAGGTACCGATACCGCTACTACCCTTGCCTCGTGTTCGCCGTTGTGGGCCTCCCGGGAGGCCCTCGTCGCCACCGCCGGATTCGCCTCGAGATGCTGGGCAGAACGCACCCCAGGAGAAGTCTGGGGAGAAAGCGGTATCGGTGCCTTTCGCCTTGTCGTTTCCCCAGATTCGGTATGATGTTGGGATCTCTCCCGTGCCTCTGAGGATTGGGCAGGCGGCTCCTGCGCTCCCGCGGGGTAGTTCGGGTCCCCTTCAGTTGAGAACTTATGGTATGACAAGACGGGATCGGGAATTACTCTGCCAAGTCCATCACGAAACCTGGGGCGGGATGCCTGTCCGCGCGGAGTGATATCTACTCCGCCCACCCCGCCCCCTCCACCAGTCGTCAGTCATCTTGCATCCAGACCACTATACAGTGCAAAAGCCCATGCCAAGAAGCACCCTGCTTGCCTCCAGGGTGCCCTGGGTTCTTGGATTTCGATTGTTCTGCTATGGAACGCGTGACGTTCCCACACCAAAAATCAGTTGACGTCCTGGGGTCTCAGGGTTGGGTTTCTTGTGGAAGGTTTCGGGGGGGATGGGGGGGGGAGGAGGAGAAAGAGGAGGAGGAGGAGGAGAAGGAGGAGGAGGAAGAGGAGGAAGAGAAGAAGGAGGAGGAGGAGGCGGAGAAGGAGGTGGGATCGATTAGTAAAACGAGAATCGAGGAGGAGGAGGAGGAGGAGGAGGAAGAACAAAACTAAAAAGAATAAGAATAATAATAATAATAGTAGTAATAATAATAAGAAGAAGAATAAGAAGAAGGAGAAGAAGAAAAATAAGAATAGGAGGAGGAGGAAGAGGAAGAGGAGGTGGACCAGGAGGAGGACGAGGAGGACCAGCAGGAGGACGAGGAGGAGGAGTAGGAAGAGGAGGAGGAGGGTTTCTTGTGGTCGAGCTCCTGCTCTATTTTTGATCCCTTGTGCCACGGCGAGGTGCACTGTGCACCGATCCCGGCTGGCGCCGAGGCCCGGGCTCAAGGGATGGGCCTGGCCAGGATCGGTGCACGGCAGGGCCGTGCCGTGTCGGTGCGGCGGCGACCGCGCCGCGGGCGTTCGAGGCCGAACGCTGCCAGGGCAGGGTTCATTTCGACTCCTCCGATTCGGTTCGGTTCGACTTTCGATGGCTTCGACGGCTTTCGATGATTTCGGTTCGACTTCGATCGGCTCGGCTTCGATTCGATTCGACGTCGGATTCCGATGGGGTTCCGATGTCTCGACGGAGGCCTACCAGCCTGCTCATTTTCGCCGGTTCGGCTCCTCCCGATCTGGCTGCTGATTTTTCCGCCGATCCGCTTCGACCAGTGGCGAAGCCTCCTGGCCTTGCCTATACTAGGCCCAGTGTTCTGAGAACCTTTTGTGGTCTGCACGAGATGTTCTCGGAACATTTCTGGCGGAGGCTGTTTTGCTTTGACGCGTCGGGCTTATGTTCCAAGAACATTGATCTTGTTCTTAGAACATGTGGGGGTGTGTGATTTGAGTCTAGAGGCCTGTGGTTTTCAATGCCGATGCCCAACTAGACTCCCTGAGCTTGAAGGTCACGAGCATGGGTCGTAACCATTTTGGCTCAAGACCCAACTTCTACTCATTCCTCATCACTCATACCACATCCCACCTTCCATCCCTTTCCCCATACCGTTCTGTGCTTGATCTGTGCAGCGTTGGAAGCTGTGTACTGAGTAGAGAGTGCGAAGGTTCTCTTGCTGGAGAAGAAAGGATCCGACACTTTGGCTCCATCGCTGTCGTCCGTCGGGCGACAGTGGTAGCGGAGCTGTGAACAGCTCTGGGTCCGCGGACCAATGACGGCAGCAGCGGGGCAAGGTGCTAATCGGGGGACACAGCAAGAAGGACGAGGGGAACATTCCGCAGTACGAGCAGTGACCGACACACTGATGAGGCATGACGGTCTCAACCTCGACCAGGACGAGGCAGAGAAGTTGGCACGTCTTTTACTATTAGACGTGGTGCCGGCCAGTTCCCAGAGTCACCAGCGAGACTCACACGGGGACGGCGCCAGGGGACAGTGGCAAGGCCACGGACAGAGTTCAGGTGCTCCGTGGTCAGGCGCCGAGGATCACTCGTGGACGGGCTGGCAAGCACCACAGCCAGAGCACGAGTCGACGAGTGCCGGGACATGGTCTGGTGGTGGCGCGGCTACGCCCGCCACCGAGGTTTCCCAGGGCAGGTCGGAGCAATGGCATCCGGGTGGCTGGAGCGCGACGAGGAGCACATGGCACGAGCCAGACCGCAAGTCTGGCGAGCAGCAGTGGGCTTCTTCGCGATCCACCTGGACTCCAGCTTCGACCTGGGAGAGCTATGAGGACAGGGCTTGGGAAGACGAGTACCATGGTGGGGGCGACTGGTCGTCGGGATGGAGATGGAGCGACAGCTACCAGGACAGCAAGTGGGAGCCCAATAAGCGCTACTCCGGGTACGATGGCGACCGCTCCAGCACGAACACCGGCAAGGATTTCGCCGACCCCGAGAAATGGAGAGGCTGGGGGGACTACCGTATGTGGCGCCGCACAGTGCTGCGCTGGAGGACACTGACGGACGTTCCCTCTCACAAGCAAGCCGATCGCCTCTTCCGCTCTCTCGATCAAGATCTTCAACGGAAACTCGAGGACCTCGACGACGACATGTTGTGTAGCTCGTGGGGTTTTGCCGCCATCATCAAACGCCTTGACTTGATGTCTGGTGAAAGACACGGTGACGAGCGACGGAAGGTCGCTCGAGAGTGCTTACTGGATCACTCACGCAAGCAGGGAGAGAATCTTACTGAATATTGCGCGCGCGTGGACACGGCCTTCGACAGGGTGGCTACTCAGGGGCTGCCGCTTCCAGATGCGTGGAAACTGATGTTCTTGGAGGAAGGAGTTTCTCTCGACGAGCGCTCGGCACAGGTGGTCAAGGTGCTCATGAAGGACCAGAAGGACTACAAGTCAGCTCTCTCGGCCATTCGGGAGATGGACATCTCGCATCGAGAGCATCTCAAAGCACGGAGGACCTACGCCACGGCTCAGAAGCTCCTCCACCTCAGGTGCCTACCTATCAGGTCGACCATGACGATGAGTCTTTGCTCGACTACTCGGATGTCTCTTCCATGAACTCGGACGGGGAAGCAGAGGTCTGGGCGATCCTGGAGTCGGCCGACGTCGGGGAGGACGACGCGCCGGCAGCGCTGGCCGCCATCAACCAGGAGCGCCGCAAGACGTGGAAGCAGAACCGCGACTTGAAGAGACAGCTGAAGACCGACCGGAAGTTCCACGATAGGTCTGGACAGAGCCGTGGCAGCGATGGGCGCGAGAAGGTTCGCAGGCCCGGCCACAGGGCGGCAGACGGCGCGGAAGAGCCGCCTTCCGCTTGCATGCTGAATTGATCAACCGCACGAGATGCCGCATTTGTCATCAGAAGGGACACTGGTCTCGAGAGTGCCCACAGAAGCAGGGCGCAGGGACCAAGGACGAAAAAGGGTCCCCTGCCACAGGCTTGACTTTTCTGTATGTGAACGCTCTAGATCACACCACCTCCCAATGCTTTGATGAGCCTCCTCCTCCAACCTATGCGGTTGTTCTGCTTGCTGTAGGTCCCGGGGCCACGGTGGTCGATACAGCGGCCGGTCAGGGCCTTGTAGGAGAGCAGGCTCTGCAGCAGATCGAGGGGCGCTGGGCCTCAAAGGGGCTCGCCGTCCCAAGGGTCCCACCCAGGAACCGAAGTGCGCGCGGAGTAGGTGGGGGGGTAAAGGTCGCCCACACCGCTCTGATCCCTTTAGGCATTGAGGGTCGCATGGGGGTGCTGGAGCTGGACGTTCTGGACCAGGACGTTCCGCCACTTTTGCCGATAGGATTTCAAGACATGCCAGGTGGAATCGTAGATCTTCCGAACAAGGCTCTGACTTTTACAAAGTTGGGGGTCGCGACGCCTCGGACTAGGCTCCCGTCGGCCCACCGCGCCATACAGGTGGGCAAGTTTTCGGTTCCGGCCAAGGACTTTGAAGCTCCAGCCTCCGCGTTTAGGTCGTACCCTCAGTTGCAGAAGGATGCGTTTCAAGCCAAGGGGAAGTACATCATCGCGTCTTCTGTCAGCATTGGCCAAGGGGGGTCGTGCGACGGAAGCTGCTGGGGGAGTCCGAGGGGGGCGGAAGAGCGCCCGGGGGGGTCCGGGACCTTTTTCTGGGAGAATCTCAGGTCAGACGAAGTCGGGACGTACGCCGGGGCCTTAGTTGGGCCAGGCAACTCAGGCTCCAGGACCGGTCCATCAAGGGATCTGGAGTCGAGCGGCACCTCCGACTCCGCGCTGAGCAGCACGTGTACTTCGGGACTCGCCAGGGCTTTGAGCTCCAGGTCGAGACGTTTCAGAACCAGGGGAGGGTCGACAGCGCGGGGTTGGAGGTGGCCGACGTGGGCCACGATGCCAGCCTCAACTTCATCCACCTTCCTCGCAGCACTTGGGCTCGAGTCACTGAGCTCGCAGCGATTCAGCAACAGCCTCGACAACTCAGAGGCCGATCGGAGAGCAGATCGCGACGCCGCCAGCTGCTTCGACAACCCGCGTGGTAGGCCAGAGGGGGCGTCGTGGAGCTCAGGAACGGCCGCGCACGATGACGGACCGCATGCAGAGCCAGACGGACTCGGCATGGGTCTACGGGGCCACCGGGACCGACGTCCCGGAGAACCTCAACAAGGGCGAGAAGGGATGGGCCTGCTTGGCCGGGTGGGCGCCATATTGGTCGGCGCGTCTGGCCGAAGGGTTCGGGGGCATGTGCCGCGCCAAGCGCTTCTGGCCGACCAACCTGCCCAAGCCTCTTCGTCGCCTCTCGGAGATGTACGGGACGTGCTGGCACCCACCGACGCTCGTGAGCTACGGAGCCAACTCGTGGGGGAAGTGGTTCGTATGCGGCGCGCGCACGATGAGGGTCGGATACTGGGAGCTGAGGCCGACAAAAGGGACCGTGAAAGAGGAGAAGATGTGCCTGTGCAGAAAGAAGGACGCAGCGTGCACGCTTCGTGGGCAAGGCTGGGCTCAGGGCGCGACCGCCGACCCACAGTGGCAGGCTCTGGCCTGCGTGCCCAAGCCACCTCCTGGGGCCGAGAGGGCTCCGTTACCTCTTCACCCGGGCATGATGGCCGGAGGTCTGGCGAGCGGCTCATTCCTGGCGGCTCGGCAGCCGGGATATCAGCGAGCGGCGGAGGACGCGGCGAAGGTCACCGAGGCTCTGCAGAAGGACCAGGCGGAGCAGAGATCCGCAGCAGCAGCAGCTCGCCGGGCGCAAGCCAGAGAGCGACACGGAGGCCATGGACACCGCCTCCGACCCACTCGAGGAGATGCGCGAGTACCAGGCCAAGACCGAGAGGGACGTAAAGAGCATGGTCGAGAGCCAGTTCCAGGAGGCCAGCCGAATGATTAGGGCCATGGCGCAGGGCAGCCCGAGCAGCAAGGCGGACCAGGCCAAGGTCGCAGCCGCTGCAGTCGACTCGACTCCCAAGGCAGAGGCCAAGGCACCACAGGCTCGGGGGATTCCGCAACAGCCAGTGCAGGCGGGGCATCCTTCGTCACTGGGCCAGCGGATGACCGAGCCACCGCCCCAGAGCCCACCGCCTCTCGCGGCGGGTGCGCCGCCAGGAGTGGCCCCATCAGCGTGGGCCTACATTGGGACAGCACCTCTCGATGGGACGAGTGTGCCGGCAGCGATGGCCTCCCAGGCGATGCTGCATCAGTAGGCGGCAACCAATGCGGGGGCGCCGCAGCCGACGAGGTCACCAGCGCTGGGAGGCCACCCGACGCACGGTCCTCCGGTCGAGCAGAAGACGGACGCAGTGACTCCTCGCAGCCCGGACCGCCTCTTCACGGCGGACGAGATGCCGATCGGTTCCACAGGGGCGCTGACCACGGAGGCCAGCCTTTCACTCCCGGGCACGGACCTGGCGGCCCCGCCAACGGCAGCAGTCGGTCCGCACGGCAAGGGCAACAACAAGGGCAAGAGTACTCCCTCACGCAGGCAGGAGCACGGGGATCCGTGGACTCCGGGCCCGGAGGAGAAGGGCGCCGAGAAGCGGCGCCGGGAGCACCACGAGTGGAAGGAGGCCGGGTGGAAGACCTACCACAACGGCCGCTGGACGTGAGTGAGCGCTTGTCTCAGGAGCTGAGGGCGAAGAAGCTGCCTCATCCCGGGGGGGTCACCTTTTCGGTTTCTCCGGGGAAGCTCAAGCGTCGCCAAGTGCTGGATTCGCTTCTGTCAATGGGGGCAAGGCCCCTGTCCAGGACCGGGTCTCGGGGGATTGAGTTTCTTATGCCCTTGTGGGCGAATACGGTCTTCGGGGATCAGAACAAGGACGATCACGAAGTGTTTCTTACTAAGAGCGAGAGGAGACAGCTTCAGTCTCTGGTGACCGATCGCAAGGTCTCATCGGATCTCAAGTCGAGATCGTTTCTAGAAGTTTTCTCCCCACCCCGAGTCGCCCCCCTTCTTGAGGAGGCAGGACTGCGTACCCTGGGCAGTCTCGATCTGGCGACGGGGTGGGATTTCAGGAAGAAGAGCGATCAGGACAGGGCCATGAAGCTCGTTCAGACCAAGAAGCCGTGGATGATTTTCCTGGAGCCCCCGTGCGCTGAGTTCAGTCCGATCCTGGAGCTCTTTCGGGGGACCTCTCCTGAGCCTCTAGAGGTTCAAGAGCGGAAGAAAAGAGAGGCTCTGGAGCTTCTGGCTTTCTGCATGAAGCTGGCGCTCGTCCAAGTTCAGGAGGGTCGACGCTTTGCGTTCGAACGCCCGAATGGGGCAGCGTCCTGGCGAAGGCATGTCGTGGACATGATCAGGAAGCTTCCGGGGGTCATGGAGGTGGTCATAGACCAGTGTGAGTTCGGTTTGTCAGTGGTCGAGGGGACCCTCTCCCGCAAATCCACCCGTGTTAACACCAACGACCCCACCTTCTTTCGCCAACTATCAGGACGGCAGTGTAGGGGCGGTCATGAGCATCACCACCTGGAGGGGGGACACATAACCAGGAAGTCACAGGTGTACCCCCCTAAGCTCTGCAAGACCTTCGCCGATGCGGTGCTCAGGAGCATTCAGGAACAAGAAAGTCTTCTCACCATCGAGGAGATGGCGGAAGCCTGCTCAGAGGAACTTGGGGCGTGCCGGGTCGGGGTCGAGGCGTTCCCCAGTCAGGCTGAGTCCCCCCGGAACAGTTGCCGGAGCAGGGAGAAGACGCGGAAGGTGAGGCCGAGGAGCCCGCTCCCCAGGAGGTCCCTGGAGAGCACGAAGTGGAGATAACCGCGCCCATGAAGCGTCTGATTCACAAAGTTCACGTGAATCTGGGACATCCTCGCAAAGAGATCTTTCTCAAGGTCCTGCGTGCGGCACGCGCTCGTCCTGAGGTCATTCGGTTCGTCCGAGACGAGTACGAGCGTGCCGACTGCCAAGCCCAAGAGGAGCCCGCCGGGCATCGCTCAGTGGCCATGCCACGCACTTTCCAGTTTAACAGGGTGATGGCTGTCGATACTTTCTACATTAATTTCGAAGAGGAAGCGATTCCGGTGCTGAATTGTATATGCCACCGCACAAATCTCCAAATAGTGGAAGTTTTCGACGGGACTGTGGAGGGGGCGTGGAGGGCTTTTCTTAGGGCCTGGATTAGGCCTTTCGGGCCTCCGGAGATGGTGCTGTCGGATGGAGGGCCCGAGTTCAAGGCCATTTCGAGAGAGGCCTTGAGCATCTCGGCGTCTTCCAGCACGTGATAGACGCCGAGAGCCCCTGGGGGAATGGGTGAGTCGAACGCCATGGGAGGTGGGTGAAACAGATTTTACTTAGAGCCTCCGAAAGCAGTCTCATCACTACCCGAGCCGAATTAGAATCCCTTCTCCACGAGGTCGTGGCAGCCAAGAACCGCTACCTCCACAGAGGAGGCTACGCGCCTTTTCAACTCGTTTACGGGGTCAACCCAAGACTGCCCAATGATATGTTGTCAGACGACGGCATGAGACAGGTGGGGGAGGGAGACCTCGTTCAGACGGCCTGGGACCAGGACACGGCGGCCGCGGATTACGCCAGGCAGCACGCCATCCGGGATTTGGCTCGACAAGAGCTCTTCCGCTCCTCGAGCAGGCGGAAGCTGGCGGAAGCCTCGAAGGGTAATGTCCACAGAGACGCTAAGGTCTATCCAGGGCAGTGGGTTTTTGTCTGGCCCCGAGCCCCGACCTCTGGGAAGAAAACGTACGCGCTTCAGCGTGACCGTTGGGTCGGGCCCGGGCTGGTGCTTCTCCAGTCTGGAGGGGCCGTGTGGGTTGCCATGAGGAGTCGCTTGTGGAAGTGCTCATCCGAGCAAGTGAGGCTGGCGACGTCACCAGAGGCCCAGGGCGCTGAAGTCATGTCCGACCCCGGGGTCCAGAAACTTCTTCGAGAGGCCCAAGTGGGCCGTGCCGGCGCGGGGGTCAACGCGGCGGCCGAAGGACCGCCACCTCGTGAGGCCTGGGAACCAGGACACGGTATGGAAGTGGAGGCTTCACCCATTCAGGCTCCGCTTCCTCCTCCCGCTAGGTCTCGGGCTCCTGGGGGCAACGTTCAGCGGCCGGTTTCACCTCCAGGGTTGTCGCCCATCCCAGAGGAAGAGGTCGCTGGCGCCACGGGTTCGGGTCCGGGGAGCGATACCAGGCCACCTACGGATTTGTCTCGCTCTAGACAGGTCAGTACCGAGGGGGGGGATGCAGAAGAAGAGTCACGACCGCACAAATATATTCAAGTCGATCCGGAAGGGGTTGCCTCACTCCTTCCGCTCTCGAGCGGTCCAGTGCAGGGTCAATCTTCCAACTCCTCTCCCTCTCAACCTCTCCCACTCCAACAGGCTCCAGAAGGAGGGCGGCTGGAGGCCGAGCCTCAGCAGGCGTCTGTCATCGCTGATCCGGCAGCGGACTCCCGCATGGACGAGAGCCGCAGTGCCGGACAAGTCCCGGGTGATGGTGCACCCAGTGGGGAGTCCAATGCGCCAAGGCCTATCATGGATGGAACTGTTCTCCGGAATGAGATATTAGACCTCGGCATGAGGCGTCAGGGTCAACGTTTTTCGGTCACTAGGGGAGAGGACTTCAGAGGGATCCCACCGGGGCGTGTTCGGACCCAGGTCCAAGAGCTGGAGGGTCGGCCAGAACCCAGGCCAGCGGGGCGCTCCAGATCTCCCCCCCCCGAGCGGGCCCCGGGGTCCGCCATGGGAGACGCTTCTATGTCAGGCTTTCTCGAGATGAGTGACGCGAAGATAGACGCGCTTCTGGGAATGAGCGATGAGGAACTCGTGTCGTATGTCAACGACGTGGGGAGAGCTTTAGACGAAGAGGGGTGGAGTGGCACCTGGACTCAGTATCACAACGGCAATGTCGACTGCTAAGTTCTGCCCGGAGACTCAGGTGGCTTTTCTCTCTCCCTGCTAGCTAACCGAGGGTGCGAGATTCGTCTCAAAGACTTTACGCCAGAGGAGAAGAGTGAATTCGCCTCTTCCGACTCGCATGAGTGGGAGGGGATCGTCGCTACCAAGTCCGTGAAAGTTCACGCTCCGGCCGAGGGGCGTCAACTTAGGAAGCTGTTCCCAAATCGAGTCGTTTCGAGCCGGATGGTCCGCCGCTGGAAACCTCAAGGCAGTGTCGGAGCACGACCTAAGGCGAAGTCGCGCTGGTGCGTGAGGGGACACCAAGATGAGGACACCGCAGAGCTCCAAGTTTACGCCCCTACGCCATCTATGGAATCTCTCATGCTGTTTCTGGCCATATCTTTCATGTATGGCTTAGAGGTCCATATAGGAGACATCAAAAACGCTTTCTGTCAGTCCGATCCGCTTAAGCGACCCAGGTGACGTGTTTTCGTGGAACCCTGCGAGGGTTTGAACCTCCCGACCGGAGCTCTCATTGAGCTCATTGCTCCCGTGTATGGGCTCGATGATGCCCCTCTCGCGTTTCATGAAACGTCGGCCAGGTTCCTGGAGGGACAAGGCTTCACGAGGGCCAAGTTGGAGCCCTGCTGGTTTTCCCAGAAGGAGAATGGTCGTCTGGTCGCGCAGGTGTTGCTGGAGGATGACGACTGGGCTATCGCTTTCCCTCCGGGTCAACAGCAGAAATATCTGGCCGAGTTTAAGCGTTTCGCGTTCGGACAAATGGAGAAACTCGACGAGGCCGGAGTCGAGTATATCGGTCGAAGGCTTCGACTCGTGGGACACGGTACTGCCACACCGCGTATTCTTGTAGACCAGGAAAAGTACATTCTCGAGCAGGTCCGCAAGGTACCGCTGTCAAGGGGGCGTCGCGGGGATCACTCCAGTCCTCTGGTTGGGACTGAGGTGGCGGAGTCCCGAAGCCTGGTTTACAAGTTTAACTGGGTCGGACGGGAATCCCGGGCTGAGGCTGCCGGCTGCGCGTCCATTCTAGCGACCAAAGTGAACTCACCATGCGTCAGAGACCTGGTCGAGGCACACATGATGGTGGACCACCTTAGGTCTACGGCCAGCATGCCCGTGATAATTCACAAGTTCGACCCCTCCCGCTGCATTTTCGCGACGGCCAGCGATTGCGGAGGAGTTGGCTCGGATGACTGCATGTTCCCACAGCAAGCATGGCACGTCTACCTGGCAGACAATGCTTTAGCGCACGGTCAACGCGCGAGGGCCACTCCCTTAGCTTGGAGATCTTGCCGAGTTAGACGCCAAGTGGAGAGCACTCTCGCAGGACAGACGCTCGCGCTTCCCGGGGCCCTTGCTGAGGCTCAGTGGCTTCCTCTCATGTTCGAGGATGTTGTGAGAGGGAACGTGGCGTCATAAACCTGGCAGGGGAGAGTCGGCCCCTTCGCTGCCATTTTGAAGGAAGACTGCCAGTTGATTGCTCACTCGTCTTCGCAGTGCCTCAGCATAGTTGACGCAAAGGGGATATATGATACCCTCAGTAAGTTATCAAATGGTTCTCGATCCGATCGTCGAGCCGCGATCGACCTCGCGGTCGTTCGGGATATCATGCAGAAGGTCGGAAGAGTGATTCGTTGGATGCCGCGCCCGTTACTTCCTGTCGACTGCATGACGAAATCTGACCTTGCGAAAACCAATGCGGCTCAATATGAGCTGCTCCGTTCTGTGTGTTTGCGTCTCTCGGCGGA